ATTTAGGAGAGCATGAAAGTGAATTTAAGGCCCTTGGAAATTTTTTTAATGCGTCACTTTAGGTTGACTACACCTCTTCAACGCTTTTCTAATTCTTATAGTCTCTTCCCCTCATCCCCCCTTTTTATTTTTTGTAGTCTCTGCCTTAAACTAAATAACCCATATCTTAATTCTTTTCTCTGACTTCTTGAATGTGGTAAAACATATGATCGGGACTAAAGTTGCGTTAGCTTTTTAAAATCATGTTAAGTATGACTCACTAGACTGTGTGATAACCATGAGGAAACTTCCCCTCATGGACTATGTGTGTGTGTGCATGTGGGTATGTTTTGAAGTCAGACGAGATAGGGAACCGTTGCTTTTACTGTGTTGTGAGTAAATAGCACGTGCTTTTCTGACACCTACCTGTGGCCACTTGTTTGCCTAATTTGAGGTTTCTGGACTCAACTGTCCTTTCTGGGGGAGGGGGAGGTACTTGGGGTGAAGGGTTTGGAGAGAGTAATTCAATTAAGGTTAATTTAAAAAGGCCTCTTCTTGTTTTTATTTTTGTTGTGTGTGTCCAGGATTTAGAAGAATTCTGCTTTAAGTTTTGCATCAATCATTTGACAGAAGTTACACAGACCGCAGCATTTTGGCAAATGGATGGCCCTCTGCTAAAGGAATTCATTGCTAAAGCCAGTAAATGTGGAGCCTTTAAGAACTGAAGCCAAGGCTGCTGGGTTATGTGTGAGTGCTCTGGGGCACTGGTGATGGTGTGTCTTTTGTGCTCTACTGGTGATATGCTGCAGGTAAAAACCATCAGGTTGTCTTTTCATATCTGAGACACAATTCTCTGTGTAGGAATATATGAAGGATATACGGCTTTTCCTGAACTTACTTCTTTTCATATCTGAGACACAATTCTCTGTGTAGGAATATATGAAGTATATATGGCTTTTCCTGAACTTACTTTAAACAACTCTTGTTTCCAGACATGTCTATTTTAAATGTGACTATCGGTTTGTCTGGAACACTATAAAAGGGTGAAAGTTTAGCTGGTTGTTTTTTTGTTTTTCATTAGAGGAATTTATGAACTTGGAAAGGGGACGTTTGTGGCAACTCTCCTGGGTCACTTATCAACAATCCGTTTGACACTAGGGGTGGTGATAGTTTGTGAATTGTGAGTTAGACATAGAGGCCCCACCATGAATTAAAGATGCTGACTTTGGGTCTTACTGAATTGCTGCATTAGTTGCTAGCTCAACTGCCTTACTGTGAAAGAATAGCTGAGATATTTTGAGGCTTTTTTGTGTGTGTTTGCACTATTGATGGACTTTTTCTTAACTTCATGGTGTATGAAAATAATATTAAGTTTAATATGAGTTAAATCTATTGAAATGATAATTATGTTAAGATAAATTTTTAGATTAGCCAAGATTTCTCTTAAGACTTAAGCACATAAAGAGTAGTAATTTAGAACTGTCTGTGAAAAGTTGATAATGAAAGAAATTTGGACAAGGTGAATGTTTTATAACTTAGAATCTCCACTACTATTTAACGATGTTTTATTTTATTAAGATAAAATTTGAGAACTCGTTTAAATTGCCCCTTCCTCCACACACTTTTTCCTCTATAAAAATGACATATTCAATATACTCTTGCCTTCCTAAATTGTGGCTGCTAAATCATCAGATCTGCTACATATGATTCAAAGAAAAGGTTCTTAAAACCAACTCTCTTACAGGACTTAAAGGAATTAGTTTTATCTCTTATCTAGACCAAATCCATCACCAATTCACTTATTTGAAACTTCGCCAGCTTTTACTTTTGGTTTTCCTCTCCTTTTAATTGTGTTAGGTCTAATATTTAGCACAATTGGACCTTGAAAAAGGATCAAAATTATGGGATTTTTTGTTTTGTTTTTGGGGGTCTGGTTATGAAGTGTGATTTGGAAGGTAAGAATATTCAACTCTTAAGCTTTGTCGTGTGTGTCAGTTGCTTTAAGAACAAAGCTCTGTTCTGCCCTCCAATCCAGGGACTCATTTCCATTTGTGGGAGTTCTCTTAGCAAATTCTGTTTCCTGCCTAGAAGGTCCTCCCATCTGAACTTGGAGCCTAAATACATTTTCAGATCAAATGTATTTATAAATTAGAATCTCCACTACTATTTAACGATGTTTTATTTTATTAAGATAAAATTTGAGAACTCAAGTTTAAATTGCCCCCTCCTCCACACACTTTTTCCCCTATAAAAATGACATATTCAGTATACTCTTGCCTAAATACATTTTCAGATTAACAAGAGGGTGAAGAGATGCGGCAGCTATTATTTTTAGCAGTGTTTTTAAGTGTGTGTGTAGCAGGGAGTGAGGGCCTGAAGCTAGAAATTCATTGACAGGTAAAACATATACAAATCTAGAAGTCCCAGACCCCTTTTCTTGACCATGTTGCTAGTGATTGAAGTCCAGTGATTAGGTTAGAACTGGTTCTGTAACATGATAGAACTTTTCTTTCTAGGTTGATAATACATATTAATTTGATTAATTATGGTGGGTAGTGTTTGTAACAATCACTGTTCTGTAGGCTTATTTTGATCTGGACAAAACATGAACTTCAGTATGTTTACTATTGCTCTTACTTGAAAAAAGGACTATGAAAAGCACAAATTAAAGTAGTAGGTCCATTTCCATACATGGTTCATTCATTGAACAAATATTTGTGAAGAACCACTTCTCATATTATTGAGTAATTTGTGTGAGTATGTATGTAGTGAAGAGAACAGGAATAAGTCCTTCAAAATTGTTTATCTTTTTTTAAAAATATATACTTATTTTTCTACTTGGTTTTGTTGTTAATCATAGAGATGAAAACTATTCTTTGAATTGCTTTTTTCCTCTGATGTAATAATGAAAGCCAAAGTATTCATATTTCCTAAAATAGCCCTAAATGTACTGTTGATCTTCTTACTGGAACATGTTTGATACTCTAATGTATAGGTTGTATTTATGTAATGTTTAGAATGACATATTAATAAATAAAGCTGTCTGTTAAAAAGAGGCATGTAGTTGTTCCACTACCCCCCTCAAAAATCAGTAATATGCAGCCATAAAAAGAAATTCTGACACATGCTGCAACTTGGATGAACCTTGAAGACATTATGCTAGGTTCAATGAGCCAGTCACCAAAGGACAAAGACTGTATGATTCCACTTATGTGAAGTACCTGTCACATTCAGAGACTTACAGAAAGTAGGTTGTGGTTGCCAGGGACGCCAGGGAGGAGGAAATGGGGAGTCACAGTTACAGAGTTAGTTGTGCAAGATGAAAAGAGTTCTGTGGATGGACAGCGGTGGGGGTAGCAAAACAGTGTGAATTTACTTAACGCTGCAGAACTGTGCACATAAACATAGTTAACATGGTAAATTTTACAACAACTTAAAAAAATCTGTACTATGAGTCTTAGCAGGTATCAGGCTAAAAATAGATACCACCATGAACATGTGTCAACTGCGTCTGAACTGCACACACACCCCTATAAAAATCCTTTGATTTTATTTCTGCTGAAAGAGAGTACAGTTGAACTGTTACAGCAGAAAAACCTGAATCTTTTGGGGTACTTATAAGTGAAGGAAAAGACATAAATAGTCCCTGCCCTCAAGGAAAGTATACATTATAGGAAAGGTTTAGGAGTTAACACAATAACATATCTGTAAACAGCTTTTCATGATAGTGAGAGAAAACCTAAGAGTTAATACGAGAAGCATATCTGAAGATGTTTGTGCAGTGTGGGGGAAAACATAAGTGTCCTGTCAGCTCATTTCCAAAACACGTTAAGTGGCACAAGCAAAGGCTTACAGGTGGGAGCTGATGAGCCTTCCAGAGCCTAACATAAGCAAGTCTGGTTGAGTAGGAAAGCCAGGGTCTGAGAGGTGGAAATGCTGGCAAGGGGAGGATGTGTGTATGTGAGAACATTTATTTCCCACGGTGCCAAGCATCATGCCCTGTGCTGCATGTACATTTTTTTCATGCCCACATTTTGTACCATAAGGTAGGCAGGATTGGGCTCAGATAGATTAAACAACGTGATTAAAGTTTTTCAGAGCTAAAGTACAAAACCAGGTCTAAGTTTGCCTGACATTTGCTTACTTTATGACTGCAAAACATGAGCTGCATTGTGCCAAAGTAATCTTGTGAATGACAGATTAAGTTTGAAAATAACGTGGGGGGACAGAGGTTTTCTTTAAAATAAAGATCATGAAGTCAAAACTATTACTCAGTATCAGGGGCAGAAGCTGAGTTACCATCTAGACCAGGGGCAATTTGATTCAGTGGGTCTGGGATGGAGTCTTGGCTGTTAGTTTGTTAAGTCCCCCAGGCGATTCTGATGTGCAAATTTGAGAACCGCTGACCTGGCTTCGGCTAGGGTTGCCTTTACAACAGGTATGGACCCATTCTCTTTTCACCTACATCATATTCTTCTCTGAACAGATATTTTTTGAGTACTTACTACATACCTGGCATCATGCTGAGACTTAATCAAACTCATTTTGAAATGTAGCATTATTGCCCTGGCCAGTTTGGCTCAGTGGATACAGTGTCCTCTCAAGGGCACATACCTCATTTGCAGGCTCGATCCCTGGGTCTTATCAGGGTGCATGTGGGAGGCAAACAATTGATGTCTCTCTCTCAAATGGATGTTTCTCTCTCTGTTTCTCCCCCTCCCTTCTACTCTAAGAAATCAATGGAAAAATACCCTTGGATGAGAATTAACAACAATAAGAAATGTAGGATTATTGTGTATTAAGGTACTATAGTAAAAAATTAGAAATGTGAATGTAAGGTTGAGAAAAATCGTAACTATCATTTTTTTTTTCATTCTTACATATTCTCACTGATATTCTTATTCAGAGTCCAATTTTAAATCTCAGTGTTTATTTTGAAGATGATGTATTTCTATGTGATGACTGTGGCTGAGAAGAAATTTAAAAAGCAGACTTTGTGACAAGAAGACAGGCAAATTTGGTACAAGTAAAATAAAATATTCAAATTTATTATATCTAAGAGGCATTATGGGCTAGAAATAGTTTCAAAAGATAAAAACAGTTTATGTATTTTTCGAACAAACATTTATGGAGCATGCTGGGTGCTTGGGAATGTGATAGTAAGCAAACACAGAATAGTTAGTTCCTGCCCTCAGAGCTGATACTCCAGCAGCGTGATGTAAGGTACAGTGGGTTATACTGGGAAGGGTTATGAAGGAAAAGTACTCTCAGATGGAATAAGTGGGAGGAACTTCTATAATAAGATCTGCAGAGGGAGCAGTAAGAGGAAGGCAAAAGAGCAGTTAAGACTTCACAACCGGATGTGCTAAAGGCCCTGGGGGTAGGGGCACCTGGTGTGTTACTGGAATCAACCTAGATCAGCGGTTGCCAACCGGAGGTCCGAAAGGTTGGTGACTGCTGACCTATTTTACTGGAGTACGAGAGGGGTGGAGGCAATGTGTCAGCAGGAAGCCAGAGAAAGGGTTTTAGTACGGAGGTTGGGAGATATGGGAGGCATGATCCAATTTACTCAAGTAGAATCTGAGAAACATTTTGTCAGAGGAGAGGGTAGGAGAAGTGAGATCATAAGAGGGAGGCAGTAAACACCCAGTTAGGCATGAACAGGTTTGAGCTGGTGAGGATCAAAGTGTGCAGACAAGAAAGACACGAGACCTTGTGCTAGAGATGTGTGGCTTTCCCAGGCCTGGTCTCTAGTTCTCAGCCTGCTTGCAGCTATGCCCAATTTCTGGCTTAAGAAATGGTAACTCTTAAGAAGATAAAGAAGATACTGAAGCACTGCTTTCTTGAACAGAGCACAAAGTTTGTTTTAAGTCCTGAAGTAGCTCAATCTCTTCCTTCATCTGCTGCCATTTTTCTTCGAATTGCTGAATGTTAGTCTCTAATGCTGTATATGATAAGAAATAAAATGATTTCAGGTTATTCAGAAGTTGTATAAAAAAATGTTATGATATCTAGCCCCTTTTACTTGCAAGAGCATAGTACATGATGCTGTGCTCCAAGTGAAAAGAATCTAGGATCTTAAGAGGAGGAACTGGCTCTTTAATGTCTTTGCTTCCTCTTCTAATTCAGGATAGAACTCTAGTATTTTATTTCACATAAAGCTGATCAGTAAATCTTTAAGGTTTTGTACATATTTATAGCAGAAAAAGGCACTCTGTGTATCTTTGAAAACTCGAAAGCAGCCACTGTATAACCTTCATGCTACACTACATACATTTGTTGAGAGATGATGATTGGCAAGAGCATGTGATTACAATATCAAGGATCTGGGCAAGTCTTTCATAAAAATGCATCCAGTTTTTAATGTTAAAAGCTTTTGATTTTATTTAGAAATAGAAAGGCTTTTAATGTGGAAATTTAGGAACATTACTCAGAGGCAATGTCATTTTTAAAAAAACTCAAAACGGAAGAATATTAACATATACACAATCTTAGAATACCTACATACCTGTAGTTAATGTTCTGGAACATTAGAAAGGCTATGTTAAGCCAAAGAATCTTTATTAGTTGGGTGTCAAAAGTTAAAGCCTTTTGCCCTGGCCAGGTAGCTAAATTGGTTAGAGTGTTGTCCCAATGCACCAAGGTTGCGGGTTCGATCCCCAGTCAGGGCACATACTAGTATAAGAAGCAACCAATGAATGCATTAAGTGGAACAAGTTGATGTTTCTCTTTTTCCCTTTCTCTCTCTCTCTAAAATCAGTAAATTTTTTTTAAAATTAAGTCTTTTAAGTTGGTTCTCATGAGATTTCAAATAGTGTCTCCTCCTAGTGACCCACCCCACAAATATTACACTGTAACCTATATACTCCCACTCACCCACCCAAGTAGTGACCTGTGTCATGTTCCAAAGATGTAACCTTTTATACAAAAATAAATAAATAAACACAGTGAAAGTCCCCTACAAAATAAAGCTTTTTAGAAAAAGATTTAAAAGGCTGCTTAAAAAACACACACGGAATTCCCATGAGCAGTCTACAGACATCCTCAAGAGACTGTTAAAAGATACACTATTTTTGGTAGACGTTAAGAAATATTTTTTCTGCTGATTATAAATGTAATACAAAATTCAAATAGAAATATGTAATATGAAAACAAAATGAAAAGCTTGTGTATATTGAGACAGGGATATGAACTACCTGGTAATGTTTTCTCCACAGGGAAAACCTATTGTCCTAATACCATTTGCTGGATAGACAAATATAACTTCAGAGAAGCCATTTGCAAAAAAACTGTGTGACTCTGGCCACCCCCCCACCCCCACCCCAAACACACACACTGGGATGTGCAGTGCACCCCTCCCAGTTGTGTGTGGCAGCCTTGGGGAGAAGTCAGATCATACAAGTGAAAATTTAGCCTTGTTTGAAGGCATCTTAAACAATGGCAAAAGCACCTACTCAATAAATGGTTGATATTTTACAGAAAAGTTAAGTCTCTGCCCTCACAAGGCTTTTTTCTTTTTCAAAAATTTCTTAGTTATTCTTGTTCATTTTTTTTCTCATAAGCTTTAGAGTTGATCTAAAGCTGGCCATTGGATTTGCAGATTAATGTTGGGAAAATTAAAATATGTATACATCATACCAAGTGAGAGGGAGACAAATGGCACCTGGAGTTGTCACAGCCTGGCTGCCTGAGGGCAGAGGCCAAAGAACGGTTCATCTGTTCCTGCCGATTTCTGAACATGGTGCCCAAATATCCTGCCATTTTGCAATCATTTTTTGTTGTTTCTACATAAAATATTACTATATGTAGGTTGGAGATTGTGGAAAATACAAAGAAAAACACTGACCCAGCTGCCTACAGATAAATACTGTTTCCATTTGGTGCAGTTTTTCTGTGTGCACATGTGCCTCTGTATTTACGTATTTTTTCTTGTGTGTGTGAGAAGTCATACTATTTTGTAGTGTCGCTTTTTCATTTAATAAAACTGTGTCTAATATGTAATACTTTCAACAATAAAGAATCATAAATAAAACTGTCCATTGAAATATGATTTTTATCACCTGAATAGTATTACATTATTTCAATATTGATAAATATTTGTAAACTTGGCTGCTTGATTCTAACTCATACCTTCTTGAAAATTTACAAATGCGTCTTCAAACAATCTACAGTCAAAAAGTGAAGTCCCGATTTCTTCATAGTCTGGAGGGAGAAAAACATTTTGTTTTAATTTAAATATTTTATGTAGGCAGAAACACCTCACAAAATAACCCTCCAAAATGAAAAGTAAACAGAGCAGTTATCTACTGGGAACTTGTTAGAAATGCAAATTCTTGGCACCTCTACTGATCAGAACCTCCAAGGGGGAGGCCCAACTATCTGTGACTTAACAAGCCTTCCAGGTCAGCGGTTGCCAACCTTTCAGACCTCAGGGACCACTGGTTGGTGACCGCTGCTCCAGGTGATTCTGAGGGGCATGCTCAAGTTTGAGAAGTGCTTGTAGACAAAAGAATGCATTGAATGAGCTTTAAGATATGTTTGCTCTTAATTTCATTTTTTGGTTTTGTCCTATAGAAAATAATCCCTTTCAAATAACCATTTATTTTATACTATTGCTGAAAATATAGATTATCAAGCTTTTTCTTACAAAATAGCAATATTTATAATAAAGGTTTTACGCTCATAGGAGAAATGATAAGAAGGCTAAGTGGCTATATATCTGCCCATAGGAATGGAACTTCAGCTTTCCAAAGAGTTCCTAATGAAAGGTCACATTTAACTAAGTCAAACATCAGTCTGAACAGTAAAATTACTTCCATACTTTAAACTTGAACATACCAAAAAAGACACTTGGTTTACTAAGGAACAGAATTTGAGTCAAATCAAAACTAACATAATGCCATTCTCAGATCTTAGCAACAAGTGTGCTCATCTGTGGGGGTGGATGTGTGATTGAGTTTGGTTCTGAAGTGCCCATCTCTTGCTGGTTACTCTCAGCTATGCACACCTTTGGAAAATACTTGAAAACCTTCATGGCATCAGGATACTTTTTACAAAATTAATGAGTTTGTGAATTGCCCACATCCTGTAGATTTGTAAAAGACAGGAGATCTGGAACAATGGATTTTATTAAAGAATGAAATAAAAAGGAAAATAATACTTCAGATAGAAAATGTGTACAGGTTTTTGGTTTTGTTTTGTTTTATATGTACGTCTGTGAGAAGTCTCTGTATAGGAATTTTGCTATTTTAGTACCTGATTCTGAAATATTCTCATCCATGAGTCTTTCCTGAATCAAATGAAGTTTTTGTGATATTTCTTCAAATAAATCATTAAGAAGTCCTGCTTCCTTACATTTCTTGAGAAAAGCAACTTTCACAATTGCATCTAAGAATAAGAAAAACATTTTAGAAGGAAACAGTGTTAGGGAAGCTGTTATAAATCACTTTATAGTCTTCTTAAGACGTTGCCTAGTGGTAGATGAGCATAGTTAACACATACAGTACCTTTAGGTTGTCTATTAATTGTAATTTCATCAAACCTCATTTTTCCTAGCTGAAACAATGAATGAAATGTTATGAAAATGTGAAAAACTTTGTTTAGAAGAATTATATGAAGCAAGACAATTTTCTCAAATTTAGCTTCAACTCTTTTGAGATGACAGCCTTTGTTATTTTTCTGTCACAGTGACTGTTGTTATAGAACATCTATCTGCTTAAGAACAGAAAGCTGCCAGTACTGGCTCCCGGGGAGCAGGGAATCTCAGTGTGAGGGTGGCACAATACTGTATTCTAAGCTCACACTATCTTGCCTTCTCTACAAAGAGAATATCCTCTCAATACTGAAGAGTGATGGACTGTCCCAACCTAAGTTATTTTGATCTGCTGGGGTTATGATAAAAAGGATTGTTAAGACAAAAAATTTTATTCTTATAAATTAGTTATTACAGGTCTAGAAGAATAAAGTGGGATACCAACTTTGAAACACATGGCTCATCTTTTTTTCTAAGTATTACAGGTCATATTTGTTACAGAAAAAAAACTTATAGCAAACCTGTGTGTCTGCTATCCTCTTCTTCCATTTGTTTTTCGGACCTGTTTACTGCTGTTAGTTTAGGTACCTAGAAGGAGAGAAAAATCAAGATTACTTTATACTGATTTTACTGTTGGCATTGAATTGAAACAGAAATTTTAGGGCTAAAATAAGACAGGTTTAGGAAATTTTAGAAATTTTGGAAATTAAGGGGACCATGGAGAAAGCACAGAGTTGCAGAGCAGCAGAAGGTATATTTCCATAGAATAGGGAAGCTGAAAAGCTGCAACAAGTACATTTCCATAGAATGAGGGAGCTGGGACCAGAAAAAGGTCTACATTTACAAAATAAAGAGAAGGAAGCCCTTCATTCAGGGAAGAAGAAGAAAGCCCAAAGGGAATAGGAAACCAATAAGGAAGGAGGGGGCGGGGGAGAACCTCACATGTCCCCTGTGAGGTTGACCTTTGAGCCAAGGAGTTACTATAGTAACCAGTCTTAAGGAAATAGTGACCAATCAGAGGGGATATCAAGGCACCAGGATCTGCAGCCTTTATAAGCCATAGGGAAAGGAACTCAGTGGAACCCTTTCCCCCTCCCGTGGGAATCCGTTCTGTGGGACTCTCCCCCGTCCCTACGTGGAAGTCTGTACTTGTTCTTTAATAAATTTCCACCTTTGCTATACCACCTTATGTCCGTGGATTCATTCTTCGACTCCGGCGGACAAAGAATCCGGGTTCCAGTCCAAAAATTCCGTTTCAGAATGTTGTATAAAATGAAAATCAATCTTTTTTGTATAATTCAATGATATGCCTATGGTGAAAATCATGCCCCCTATTCATCTGTTGATGTAAATATCAAATGTATTTTTGTTTTGTATGACAAAACATCAAGAGTTGTGACAAGTAACTCTTATATAAACAGGAGAAAGGTGAAGGTTGCTTATATGACCTGGTGCATAAAAAACTGTTTGAAATCCCCAAAACATTTTCATATGCTTTACACACAACAGTAATCCAGAAAATTATAAGTTACAAATTAGGTCAAGTATGGAGCATGCAGCTGGGAAATACTTGGCTAGGTAAGGATGCTCGACCTTACCTCTAATCATTTTAAGATCATAAGCACTATATGGGTTCAGATTCTTCTTACTAATTTGGTACCAGGGGATGTGTTATAGGAGCTACAGGACTGTCACATCTAACTTCTCTTTAATATTCATTTCATTAAGGTTCTATCATTTCACCTGAAATCCAGAATGGTTAAAATGAGGACTTTGTAAGAAGAAACTTAAAGCTATAATAAAATTAAGTCAAAGTACCTGTACAGAAATGCTTGTTAAGTGATCTGTCTTCTTTCTTTTTCTTTGTACTCCTGAAAAATGAGCTGAAAACATAAATCATGTAGAAATCAGAATCCATAAAGGAAAAGACTGATGCTTGATTACATAAAATGTAAAACTCTTACATGCCAAAAGTTATTACAAAGTCAAAAGATATGCCAAACTTGGACTAAATGTTTGCAACATCTATGATAAAAGGCCAATTTAAAAAATATAAAAAGATCTCATAAATCAATACAAAAAAAGACACTGGAGTAGAAAAATGGGCAAATTGGGAGCCCTCTGGGGAGAGGGTTCATTGAATAGGAAAACAGACTGGGTGACAGGAAAATAAATATAATTGATCAAAAGACAGGGGAATACACTCAATTTCACTCAAGTAAAGATGCAAAGTAAAAACAGACTGACAAAGATGAAGGTGCTCAGTGTCTAATGTTTGCGAGGATTGGGGTAATTATGTACTGCTGGTGCAGCCTCTTTGCAAGATAATTAACCAATAGGTACTCAGTTTCATTTTTTATACTCTTTGATCCAGCAATCTACTGAAAGGGAGTTTTCCTAATAGTATAGTGCATAAAGGCACAAAGTTGAATGGAGAAAAATGCTAACTACAGTATTAAATGTGGTAGAAAAACTGGAAGTAACCTAAATGCCCATCATACAGAGACTAGTCCAGTTGTGGTTCAGTTATGTGACTGAATAACGTACACAATGGGACATTATGCAGCCTTTTAAAAGTGAGGTAGATCCACTTGTGTTGATATGGAAGGATCTCTAGAATATATTAAGTGAAAAAGCAAAGTACAGTAGTAGGTAAGTTTGTATACACAGACAATTTTCGGAAGAATTCAAAAGACAATCTTCTGGTGAGAGGATTCACTACCAGTGTTATAATCTGCTTTTTAAAACTAATACATTATTGTTACCTTTCCTGTCAATAAACAGTAATTGACAACAGGGTTTTTCATAGTATTTCTTAATAAGTTAAAAGAGTAATGTTTTCAACCAAAAAAAAAAAAAAGTAAAGAAAAGGATATTGTATTGAAATGGCATTTAGTTCGGAACAGCTTATTTTATTAATACCCAGTAATTCCTAGGAAGTGTACTTTATATGTCCCTAGTCCACCCTCATTGGGACCTAAATTGTGGCCAATGCTTGCTACATATGAGGCGTACCAAATTCCTGCTAGCAACACATATTTCAAAATAATGTAAATTTACGATTTCTTATTATTCTTCCCCAAAACATCAACCCATTATTTTTAAAAAAGGTACCGAAACAGGAATTTTTAGGGGTGAAAAAACAGGTTTTAGGAAATTTTAGAAATTAAGAGGACCATGGAAGAAGCACAGAGTTGCAGAGCAGCAGAAGGTATATTTCCATAAAATAGGGGAGCTGAAAAGCTGCAACAGGTACATTTCCATAGAACAGTGATGGCGAACCTATGACACGCGTGTCAGAGGTGACACACAAACTCATTTTTTTGGTTGATTTTTCTTTGTTAAATGGCATTTAAATATATAAAATAAATATCAAAAATATAAGTCTTTGTTTTACTATGGTTGCAAAGATCAAAAAATTTCTCTATGTGACACGGCACCAGAGTTAAGTTAGGGTTTTTCAAAATGCTGACACGCAGAGCTCAAAAGGTTCACCATCACTGCCATAGAATGAGGGAGGGGGAACAGCAAAAGGTCTACATTTACAAAATAAAGGGAAGGAAGCCCCTCATCCAGAAGTAAAAGAAAGCCCAAAGGGAATAGGAAAACAATAAGAAAGGAGGGGGGTTACAATAAGAAAGCCTAGGAGTTACTATAGTAACCAGTCCAAAGGAATAGTGACCAGAGGGGATATCAAGGCACAGGCTCTGTAGCCTTTATAAGCCATAGGGAAAGGGAACTCAGTGGGACCCTTTCCCCACTCCCGACGTGGGGTTTTGTACTTGTTCTTTAATAAATTTCCACCTTTGCTATACCACCTTCTGTCCGTGGATTCATTCTTTGACTCCGGCGGACAAAGAATCTGGGACATCCTGCCCAGGGAACAAACACCGCCTGTGTTCCAGCCCAAAAATTTTGCTTCAGTAATGACTCAAAAATGAGGGTAATGATACTGTTTGGATAAAATGAAGTTGGCATGACACAGAATTGAGCCTTTTCCAAATAGGGCCTAACTCCAGTCCACAAGGAGCATTCCAGATTCTGTGCTAGAAAGATACTGCTTTTTCTGACAGTACGTGGAAACCATTCATGAATGAATGTGCATCCCATACTTCCATTCAGACAGGGTCCAATTTTAGAACTTAATTGCTAACCATTAATTAGAACTGAAATGCTAACCATGCATTCTTAGGACACTTTCATTTAGGGGCCATGCAGCACTTTATCAATTTTATCTACTAAAAATTCTGATATTCTTTTAGAAGAGAAGCAGTCACAAAAAGGCAGAGCTTTTTACCTTGTTGTGATACAGTCTTCTGAATGCAGTGAGGATGGAAGACACGAGACAAAGGCTTTACAGAGAGGAGGCCTAGTTCACAAAGAAAACTACATTATATTATACACTGTACAAAGAAAATGACAATTTTATATGTAAAATTTTTAATTCAGAAATTTTTATTTTAATTCAGTGAGCCTAGTAAATCAGGTTATTTCATGTCTTACCTAAATGATTACTTTTCTTTAAACCCACAATACTAAATTTTAGAGACTTACCAGATTGAGTTTCTTTCAATGGAGCATGTTCTTGGCAAAACACTCTGAAAATGCAATTTCAAAGAATTGTTAAATATTTTTACTTACACTTTTCAAATATTATGCCTATTTTCGTGATTTAAAAAGGAATTAAACTATCTTTATGATGGTATTGCCCTAAATATTTGTTAAAGAAAAATGCTGTTTGAGACTTCCAGTCAAGATGGAAATATAGGTAAACGCTGTGCTGGCCTCCTCCCATGGCCACATCAAATTTACAACTAAATTATAGAACAACCACTCCTGAGAATCACTTGAAAGTCTTAGCTGAACAAAACTCTTATAACTAAGGATATAAAGAAAACCCATGTCAAGACTGGTAGGAGAGGCAGAGATATGAAATGCGCTATCCCCACACCCATGTGTGGCTATTAAGAACTGGGAGGGATATCTTGGCTGTGGAGGCCCCTCACTCACCCCTTAGCCCCACACCAGACCCTCCAGCCCAGAAGACCAGTGCCAGGAAGAGGAGACCCCACCACGTGTGGCTGTGAAATCAGCAGGGACCCAGTCTGGGTGTGGGGGAGGGCTGTTATAAGACCCAGACAACCTCTTACAAGACTTGAGTACAGACTCACTCACCCTAAGTTTTAGAGAAGGGAAAGAAGCTTAAAAAGTGCCAGGGACATATGTGGAGGAACTAGTCTGGCTTCAAGCAAGACCTGGAGGAGTAGCTCTCTCAGGACAAAAGTGCCATCAGGCACCACTGGTCTGTTGTTGACTCCTCCCCACATACAACCTGCAGGCGCTGGTGGACACAAAAATCTGAGTCAACATGGCTAACAGAGTTCACCTTGGCCTGGTGATTCCCCGACACCCCGCCCCACCCAATTCCCACACCCACCCAAACACCTTTCAGAGGCTAATCCACACAAGCTCTGTGGAATTTCCTAAAATTTCTAAAAGGTCCACAAACCCCAAATGAACACTGGCCTCAGCTTTCCATGTACCTCTTGCTACCAGTCCCAAGCCTGGAGCTAGTAGAAGCCAGCCTCATTTCACAGCATAACCACTATCACGTGCCTCCACTCCCAGCACAGGCAGCTACCAAACAGACCACTTTGCAGCTCCTACCAGGTGGCCTCAGGCCAAACAGCAGCTGACCTTGGCCTGCACAGGAGCCCCTCCTAAGAGGCCCTGGAACCAACACACCTGGGGGCTGGCTTCAGACCATTCCAGAGCACCACCAAGTAGTGCCACAAATGACACACCCAAATAGTGGTCTCAGCAGGCACCAGAGCCCTGCTAAAGCAAATCCCACTTTGTGGGGTCAACCCCTGCACAACAGCTTTGCTGTAGTCATAGCCAGTCCTCACAATCTGTCAGCCTGAGGATCAATCCCACCCACTGATGTGCCAACAGCAATCAAGGTTCAACTCAATGGAAGGGCACATAAAACCCACACAAAGGACACCACTGGAACACCCAGTTCAACTGAACAGGGAGACTATGCCACGGGGCCCCACAGGACACCTTCTACATTGTTGGGAGCCATTAGAAATTACATATACATCTTCAGCTTACAACACAATAGGTTTCTGGCCCCCCCAAGCCAGCTCCTGGGAACCAATTAAGCTTTGTGGTTTAGCCTGGAGTTAAAAGATAAGCGACCCTCACCCTAAGTACACAGCTGTTAAATCTCCGCTGACAAGCACACATCTCCGCTGATAAGCACACAGCCATCCGGAGCCTGCTAAATCTCTAGTGACAGGTTACCGCCCAAAGACCCCTTTACCCACCCCCTTCCTCTACCGCCCATAGACCCCTTTACCCACCCCCCTTCCTCTAGGACAATATAAATTCTACACGCTGTAAAAATAAAGTTGAGGCTTGATCAGAACACTGTCTTGCCTCCATTCTTTCATGTCCCTTGTTTGTCTCATTCTCCCAGGGTGTCTCTGCGTTCCCCCGTTGTCGTCCCGCAGGCCGGGACAGTCTGGCGCCCAACGGTGGGGCGACTTGGGGACCCCCTGCGAGAACGTCTGCTTGAAGCGCCTGGCCAGGCACCCCTTTGAGTCGCCGCGCAGTATTGACTCGTGAGTGAAGACTCGGCATCTGGATCGCCACGGTTTCGCCCGCCCGTGAGACAGATCGTTGTGAAGGTAAGCAGACGAAACTTTTCAAACAAGAATTTCAAAATACCTCTTGAGAGCCTTCATCCTCTTTGGCACCCTCTTTGGCTGGCCTTTTTAGTTCTCTTGATCTCCCTCCAGTCCACTAATAAGCGTTCACCTCGCCGTTCGGGGAAGGGTGAAAGGTACCCGAACTGGCAGTGAAAACTCTGAATCACTCGGAAGAGTAATTCTTCTCTGGCCCGACCTGTGTCACCCTCTCTGGCAAACTCTGAGCTCGCTACGTCTTAGTGGTCGCCATCCTGGTATGGGGCTTATACATCCCGACCTATGACACGCGAGCAGAGGCCGTAAGGTAAAAAGAGAGCGGTTACATAAGGATCACCAGTGATTTAAGAAATTCCGAGCTGACCTGGCACGGGGTGTATACGTCCCAGAGGCTTACGTGGAGGAGGAAATCTTGAGAACTACCCAGCCAAAATAATGGGCAACTCATTGAACTCTCATGAGGTATTTCTAGATGGGCTCAAGGAGTCCCTCAGGACACGGGGAGTAAGGGTTAAGAGAAAGGATCTTAGGCAATTCTTCTCCTTTATTCATGAAACCTGCCCATGGTTCCCCCTAGAGGGCACCATTGACTATAGGCGATGGAAAAGAGTAGGCGATGCCCTTCAGGATTTCTATCAAACCTTTGGCCCTGAAAAGATTCCTGTCTCTGCCTTCTCATATTGGAATCTTATCCAGGATATCCTTAAAGTCCACCCTAAAGACCCAGACATCCAAAACATAATAAAAACAGCGGAAAAAGCCCTTAAGGATAGCTCCCGGCCACCCTCTGCCTGCCCTTCAGTATCTGTTGAAATCCCTGAGGAGCCCACGGCACCCTCCAAAGAAATCACTAAATCCCAACCTGACATAAAATCTCCAGACATCTGTAATAAACCTGAACTCCCTTCCCCTAAAATCCCGAGCATCTATCCTTCCCTCACCTCCCTAAGACATCAGGAGGACCACCTGTCTCCGGAGAATGAGGAAACCTTAGAGGATCAGGCCGCCCATTATCAGGATGATAAAGACCCCTGGCGTTTTACAGCGCCGGCCCTTCGTGGCACCTCTAGTAAATCCTTTAGGCCCCCTCCTTATAACCCCGACCCCTCACTAAATATCCCTATCTTCCGAATTCCAGCCCTGGAACCATTCCGCGGCCCCCCTCCCTCCTCCGATCCCATCCGGCAAGCTAAAATCTCCCTAACCCAAGAAATTTCCTCACTAAAGGAAATTCTACAGCAAAAACGCGAACACGTCCAACTTATCAAAGAAATCCAAGCCCTCGAGGCTGAGCTCACATCCCTAAGCCCCAATCAAACCTCCCAACCTCCTAAAAAATCCACAAAAAGTCCAAAGTCTAAAACCCCTGTCCTCGCATTTCCAGTTACCCGTAGCCAACATCCCCGCACCCCCGAAGAGACTCCCCTACCCCCTGAAGACATAGAGGAAGAGGAAAATCCCTCAGAAAGCAGTCCCCCAGATTCCCACAACCAGGACCGAGGCCACGATTCGGCCGACGAGGGCTCCGATGCGGAGGGACCCACACCTACCTCAGGTCGGACCGCAACTCAAAAATACCGCCGCTTAAACCTAAAACACCTAAAGGACCTAAAAGCGGCTGTAATCAATTATGGCCCCACTGCCCCTTTCACCCTGGCCTTACTTGAAAGCCTGAGCGATCGATGGCTGACCCCTAATGATTGGCTTTCCCTGGCTCGAGCCACATTATCGGGAGGGGACTATGTCCTGTGGCGTACCGACTTTGTAGAAAACTGCCGCGAGACCGCGCAGCGCAATAGTGAAAGTAAAACCTCTCGCTCATGGACAAGAGATAAGCTACTTGGGCGCAGCCCCTATGACACCAATGAAGCTCAAGCAGCCTTCCCCCCGCCCGGCCTTTTGGCCCAAATCCAAAACGCAGCCCTTAGGGCTTGGCAGCGCCTTCCGCCTAAAGGCTCAGCTACCACCTCCTTAGCAAAAATTCGCCAGGGCCCTGATGAACCGTATAGTGATTTCGTCAGCCGCTTAGCTGACGCGGCTGAACGACTAGTCGGGGAAGGAGAAACAGAAAGCGCTTTTATTAAACACCTGGCCTATGAAAATGCTAACCCATCTTGTCAAGAGACTATAAGACCCCATCGCTGTGGCAGTCTCTCTGATTATATCAAACTCTGCTCAGGTATAGGAACCTCCCATGCCATTGGACTAGCCATCGGGGCTGCGCTTAAGGACTTTACCAAGGATAAGCAACAAAAAACTTGTTTTAATTGTAAGCAGCCAGGGCATTTTGCTCGTGAGTGCCCAGCAGGGACACAGTCTCGCGCACTCCCTAAGACAATTTGCCCTCGATGCCGACGCGGCTTACATTGGGCCAATGAGTGTCATTCCAAAACAGACATTGAAGGTACACCACTTCTACCAAAACAGGGAAACTCCCAGAGGGGCCAGCCCCTGGCCCCACCATCAGAACAGAACCTAGGGGCAATCAGGTTCGTTCCCCAAGCTCAGACACAGAAACGAATCCTCCCCGCGCAGGCATCAACTCCCTCTGCCGCGCCACTCCAGGAAGCGCGGGATTGGACCTCTGTTCCGCCGCCGATACAATATTAATACCCGATCAGGGCATCCAGCTCCTCCCCACCGAAACTTATGGACCCCTGCCCCCTGGAACATTTGGCCTAATCTTAGGACGAGGAAGCTCTACGTTGGCTGGCCTCCACATTACCCCAGGAGTTATTGATAACGACTATACGGG